ACCCATAAGACCCACAAGACCCACAAGACCCGTATGACCGACAAGACCCATAAGACCCACAAGACCCGTAAGACCCGTAAGACCCACAAGACCCGTAAGACCCGTAAGACCCGTAAGACCCACAAGAACCGTAAGACCCACAAGACCCGTAAGACCCGTAAGATCCATAAGACTTACAAGACCTGCAAGTCCAGGAAGATTCGTAAGACTCACAGGTCCCATAAGATCCACAAGACCTGCAAGATCCGTAGGACTCACAAGATCTACAAGAGGCGTAAGACCCACAAGACACATACTTTATCAAAATGAAGGTACATTTGGTGTTTAATATAATCGAGATTCGTGAGTATCGAGTTCTTATGTGAAGCTGACGGACGTTAAAATCTTATGGGTGCTATGACTATTGTCGACGTGGTCCATTTCTATTTTTGTATGGTTGTCAGATGTCTTGTGGACTATATATTTAGGGGCTTATTGCTTTTTTTAGATCCGCTAAACCATTCGTTTTTGATAAAATGGCTGCTTTTTTTTTCTCCAAAATTCAGTTTGAAATCAAAAAGCCTATGGACTCCACGTCGCTGATCGAATAACATGCCACTTGAATTCTGATACGCGTCTGTACAGGGCGTTAGTATGTAGCTAGTTAGTGTGTTTGGGTTGCTCAAGTGATTAAGCGTAGGAAATCTAATGAAGACCTGCCTTTGAATTGAACTACAGCTACCAATAGTTGTTCTGGAATAACAAACTAATGGATCCACCACTACTCTGCACACTTTATCCCAAGCTACCTGCAAGACAGCGCATTACTTCTTTCTCTTCGGAAAGTACCGCTTCGTCCTTTGAAACTCTAGACAAATTAATGTGTCCGCAATAGCAAGTATCTTTCTCAGCTGTAAAAGCATATTAGACCACGAACCAGAAGCAATATGACCAATTTAGTGTTTATCCTATGCAGTCATACTCCTTCACTCGACAGAAAGACAGAAGATGACATACTCCATGTTAATCTATTTCATTCTTACCTGATGAATGTGCAAGATACCCAATAGAGAAAAATTATGAGCAAGTTGCTGCTAAGTAATACAGGGACACCCTGCTTTTATATCTCATATACGTTAACCATAACCGCAATGATAATTATCATTTTCTCTTGTATGATGAAACCACAGCAAGAAGGAAAGATAATATCATACAAATAGTGTTTATGCGACATAGTCGTTGTCCTTGTCTTGATCGAAAGAAAAATTATTACAGGCTCCCTAATGATGTGTTTCGTTCCTATCTGATGAATACTATAAATGCACATCGAAAAAAAATAATTAACAAGTAGCTTCTTACCACTTTAGCGATGTCCTTCGCTTTTACACCTTGAATAAATTAATTATACATCTAATATTAAATATTTCTTCGCTCTCTTATAACGAAATCAGTGCAAGAAGGAGAGATAGTGTCATACAAATAGTGTTTATGCGACATAGTCGTTGTCCTTGCCTTGATCGAAAGAAAAATTATTATAGGCTCACTAATGATGTATTTCGTTCTTACTTGATGAGTATGATAAAATGCGTAACGAAAGAAAATAATTAGCAAGTGTCTATGATTCAATACAGTGATGTCCATCGCTTTTACGTCTTGAATAATTTAATCATAGGCCTAATGCAAGGTAACTTTTTCTTTTCTATGATAAAATCACAGTAAGAACGAAAATCAATATTACACAAATAGTTTTTATGCACTACTGTCGTTCTTATTGCCTTGACAGAAACAGAAATTATTATAGGTTCCCTAATAATATATTTCGTTCCTACCTGATGAGTAGAGGTATCATTTTCCTGTTAATTTAAAATAAATATAAATCATCATAATTTATATTTATTTTTAAACATCAATTATAAAAAAAAAGATTTATATTTTAAAAATAAATACATATTATCATTATTTAGATTTAAAATAATTATAAATTATGGTAATTTATCTTAATTTTTAAATATAAATTTTTTTCATAATTTTTATTTATCTGAAATATAAATTATTCGTACTTCATTTGTAATTTAATAAAGTATAAATATATTGTGACTTTTAAGCGAATTCTATATTTTAGAAAATTAATTTTAAAATGTTGCAAAATTTTCAAAGTTTCATTATTTATTGGTTAAATTTAAAATATTTAGAGAATGTTTGACTTTTAAATAATAAAAATTCATTTTGATTTTCTAACAATCTCATTTTCGAAAAAACTGGAAAATCAAGACTGGTTGTAAATAATATTCGAAAAATCAATTACGATTTCGAGAAAATCATGGTATTAATCACGATGTGTTTCTTAATACCATTTTACAAAATTAGTTGATATCATTGATCACGAAATAAGACATGCAATACGTCATTTTCTCAATGAAATAAAATCATATTGTGATCAAGTTCAAAAATTTTTTTTTTTCTAAATTTAAAGATGTTCATTCGTTTTACTGCATAATTTATGAGAAATAATTCACAGGAACTATTCTTATACGAATAATAATTTAATTTTCATATATGAATAATATTAAAAAAATTAAAAATGGTCAAAATAAACCAGAATGTGAAAGATTAACTACTATTTTCTAATATGTTTTAGGTATACATATTGTCTATAGAATGGACTAATGCAAATGTTTTCATAGGGGTGGTCGAGAATGTTTTTGATGAATATGCGAACAAATTAAAATGTATTGATGAATTACTCATTCAAATGATGGTTGAGTCTAATTTCAAATTTATTTTAGAAGAAGAAACTGAGTTTGTATTGCTGTTAAATTTAAGTTCATGACCAATTTAAAAACTATTATCGTTTATTAAAGTTGATAACATTATTACCAAATCGACTACTTTGTATTAAAATAGCGTTCGAAAAAAATCAAAGATATTGAAAGAAAGTGTTTGTTATACCACTAAGTAAGTGTCCATTCATTTGTATTAAATGATCAGTTGTGATTTCTTTTTCTGTTTCCTTTTTCTTTTGGTTTGAGCACCATTGCGACATTAAATGAAAAATGATTAGATATATTTATACACCAAGAGCACTCCAATGAGTGAAATAATTTATCATTTCAGATGATTTCAATTCCAATACTGGACATTACGTTGTTGATCATTAGGACCAGCTGAAAAATTTTCTATCGACTTGGTATACAGCAAATCAATCACTTAATCAATCTTGTTTAAGTTCAAATACTTTACAATTTACCGATGTAATACTTGATTAAATGATCCAACAACTATCAGATAATTCTTTAACAATTTTAACAACATCTCAGATAATAAAAAAATTTACATTAAGTTACGCATTGCCTAGGTTTAATAAAGCTTTTGAAGAAGATGCTGAAGCTGCATCACCACTAGGCTTTATAACACGATGCAGACAGCAACAACAATTAGTTGAAACGATTCATAACGATGTAGTCTATAATTCTCGTATTGATTTTTATTCAACAGCATTCAAATTTGGTTGAATGATGTTTTGGTAAAAAATAGATGTCCAGCACTTGGTAAAATATTTGTCGAAGATATGGTACTTTTCATACAAGTTCGAATACTTTTCTCATTCAAGGTTGATTAACATCAACATTGAAATAATAATTTTCTTGTGATCGACAAGTATTCGTTGATTAATGTGAAGTATTAGTCAAAAAGCAACAATCATATGATCATCAAGTATGAGATGAAAATTTGAATTTATTAAGGTTCACTTTGTATCTGCTCGAGTAAGAATAATCAAAATAATATTTGATTCGATAGTGTCAGAAAGCAGAATCATTGCGTATTTTAATTAATACAGTCAACTATGATTATGTTCAGATTATAATTTAAATGGATATAATGTGTGTACATGATCAATGTCTTGTCTGAAAGATAAAAAGAATCAAAGATATTGTCAAATTATATCCAAGTTTATCAAAAACAAAATTGGTAAGCCCTAAATCTAACAAAAAATAAAAAGATAGAGATGTTTAGTTATTGCTACAGCATTTCTTTCATTGTGATCACAATGACAAACTGGAGGAGCAGTGTTACCGCTATCATCGGTATACGACGCCCACTATACTACTCCACTACCCTGTTCTCTTTTTTTTCACATAAAACACACGTTTATATACGAGAGAGGAGAACGAGCAAAAAAATACAACATGAGAAGCACATTACGGCAGAAAAAGAATGAGGCTCAATCACACATAGATATGCGTAAGAGCAACGCGACTATACAAACTACGTAATATCGATTGTAGAACAACATATTGAGAGAGAAAAGATATTACATAAGATGATATGCCCATTAGCACACTAAAGAACGTATTATTTGTGATCGAATAATAAATTATTGAAGTATTGTTGAGTTTGAACGACTTGTTCGAAAAGCTCAACATATTTTCAATATCATATACACATTTATTTATTTTTGTTTGTTTCCATGAACAACTTATAGATGAAATCAATCCTCTTTCTGATCCATTTGATGATGATATTGTTCAAGCATCAAAATCAAATAGTACAAAATTAGTGAGATGTTTGGATCACCCAACAAAAAAAAATATAATTGAAAGTAATGGATTTAATTAACATTAGTATCTTATTTTCTTTGTTTTAGAAGAACAGCTGTATTTTATACCAAGGCACTTGATTATGAAATATTACAAATACTAAAAAACTTATTAAATCATGTGAGTAATCTACTGAACATTTGAATGATTGTGTAATTTTCATCACTTAACATTGTCATCGTTTATTTTAGGAAACAATCGAAGGCTATTCGATGATATAATATGAATAGTTTAAAATATTAAAAATTATTTTTTTCTTCTTGAATATAACATACTTACTACGAAAAATTCACAAGCTCAAGCTATGATTGTTCAATCGGATCAGAAGATATACTCAATATGGAATATTCAGCAAAGATTCGAGCAGAATTAGAAGTACTGAATGATATTTCTGTAAACAAATTTTTTGAAATCTTATTAAAATTAAATTTTTTGCTATTGTTAGTAATTAGTATTTGAATTGACTCTTTTTTTATTCGATTGCTTTTTTTTTATTTTTTATTTTTTGTGCATTATATGTTCATTAATGAATAAGAATAAATAAAAGAAACTGATCATAAAATGAAAATGAAATTTGATTTTCAAATTTTTCAAAACATGCTCCAATTACTAAATTATATACGAATTTCTAGGAACGTAGGTCAAATAATCTGACAATCAGATCTTATGGGATCCTTACAAGATTATATACGATCTTAATGTGTGATCTGGTGTAATTATATATTATCGTATGACAGTCGAAGAAAGAGAGGTCTGAAGGGTGGAAACAGCATTTGCTTCACGTATAAAGTCCCTCAAAGTGTTATTTAGTTGGTCGGCCATATTACTCTTAAACCATGTCATATTTTCAGTGATATGTCGATGGACATTCATAACAGAAATATTTTTAGCAAGCACGCCTTTATTGTACAAAATAACGAGTGAAGACCTGTTTGAAGTTACAGCACGACCTACTAAACTGAAGGCAGGACACGCAATTGTGTAACCTTCAGTTACATTTATAAGAGCAACAGGTGAAAGTATTATTTCATTCTTACTCCAGGTATATTGCACGGAACTGACATATTCGGTCTTTGAAATTTTCATAGAATTCATTGGTCCAGATGATGAAGTAGTCCATAAGTTATCTCTTAATTGTTGAACAAAATATTTGGCAGTAGGAACTGGTGGGTGTGGGTGTGGGGTGTGGGTGTGGGTGTGGGTGTGGGTGTGAGTGTGAGTGGGTGTGAGTGTGAGTGTGGGTGGGTGTGGGGTGTGGGTATGAGTGTGAGTTAAGTCAACAACTATACCGATACCCACACCCACCCCACCCTTGTCTTTTTGAGAAGAAAGTCATGGGATAACGAACTGATTCTCAAAAAAGAAGTTATTTCTGCTAGACAATAACCTCTTAGACGAAATAGAAAGATGATCCAATTCTGTTACTTTGATTTTCAATGGCTCTTTATAAAAGAAAGATATTATTGACGAGCAGTCGCTCGAAAATCAATTATTTTTGCTGGAATATTTTCATCAATGCTACAAAATGAATTCAAGAATGGCGAAAAAAATTGATCGATATGTTATACACCTCCATTGATAGAGTTTTCACTATCATTTTGATTTTATGTAGTTGGAACGCAAAATGTCGTCAAAACGCGAACCTTTATTGTCTGAATGAAATTTAAGTCATCCAGAAACGATAGATTTCCATCGTATTGAACTTCTCAAGATGAATTTTGGATGATTTCTAAGAAATAATCACTTTGATTTCCTTTGGGGAACATTCTCAAAATTCTTCTGAGACTATTAAAGATAAGAGATTCTTAATAATATCTAAAAACATGATCACTGTATTTAGACAATCGAAAGTCTTTTCGTGATGATCGATGATAGTCGAATATTTCCATTTTCAAAATTGGAACTCTTTCGAGGAAGAAAACATTGAATCGACTCTTACTTTGACTAGCTGATGATTCTGCCAAAGATGAGTGCTGAAAGACGCGAATTATTTCGTCTATTGATGCCTTTCTCTCTTCATTCACTTTGCATTGTATAGCACGCTTCCTATGTTTACATTTCGTCACATTACTCTCTTTCTGTTCTATTTGTGTGTGTGTACGTATGACTTCTTTTTCTTATGACTATTCATCTCTTTCTCTTATTAGCAATGAAAAACGTTTTCAAGCATAATATCTGTCCGGATAGAACTATCAATTTTCTGATTTTCCTATGTTTATATTTGTTACACAACTTCAAAAGTCAATTCATCTCGTTATTATAGGACGACAAATGAAATCTCTCCTTCTACATAACATTCAATTCAAATTAAATACGAATCTTCTGTTGAACATGCTTCTTATGAAAGATTGTACATCAACCTGGAGAAAGCTGTTCTATTCTCTCGACAAGATAGCAACTATCATCATCGTCGTACAACGAAAATCACCACTCCTATTAGGATTTTTTTATTACCTCAACCGACTGACAAGGATGAAACATCGTATTTTCTCTTTTCACTTTTATTCTCTGTTGCTCTCTTTCGACGTCGCAACGAAACAAATGCGAATGTTTGCATCGCTCGGTTGTTTTTGTTTATTCTGTATCATGCTACAAGAATTTTCGTTTTCGCTTAATGAAAGCGAAATAACATCACTTGGTCGGTCTTCGAATTTCATTTAGTCAATGCGCATCAATTACTGCCTCTCTCTGATGCTTTCTTATCTTCATGGTAGTCAAGGCAATAGTTCACAAAAAACAAGAGCACAAAATTGTACGATTCTCGACAATAATATTCTCTATCTCTTTCACACAAATTAAGCCTTATAATTGAGGAAGGAAAGTGTCGTTTGCAGTCAAACTTTTGTTGTATTACAAGGGATGCGAAACCTTTCCAATGGGAAAGTTTGAGGTTGAAATTCGAACATTCGATTGTTTATGATACCCCTACCTAAGGTCCAAATGATGTGAGTTAGCCATAACTCGGAAAAGAAGATTCATGTAGATAAACTCTCGTCGGCTTTTTCTTCTTACAAGATTTCCTGATTGATATTGTTACTTTTGTCTCAAATATGGCTTCTTATCTGCAAGATGAGTGTGGGTGAGTCTTTATCTTGTTTCCACCCACACCCACACCCTTCGGAATTCTTTTCAAGAAATGAGTTTTAATGAGTTACAAATTGAAGATTTGACGTTATCAATTGCATTTAACCTGCAAAATTCAAATTGATTAATGAATGAATTATAATTTTATTTAATAAGCTTTGAATTTTCGAATGTGTATTCACAAATGAGAGAATACCCACATCCACCCACGCCCCTTTATATGCAGTTCTTTTCAATAGATGAAATATGGAAAAAGAATTTGAAAAGAAAGAAAAAGAAGAAGGTAAAAGAAAGAGAACATAGGGTAAAAAAAAATTTGTAATGTTTCAGAAGTGAGTTAGAAATAATTTGAAAAGAAAGCAACAAGTAAACAGTGTAAGTCATACAATATTCTGATCAACAGCAACATTTTCAAAAATTTCAAGTCTACTTTGGATATGCATAAAGTAACGTTGTGGATACATTTTTGGAAAGATTCGAGAAGTAAAATACATTATTTTGAATACCATATACTGTGAGTGTCAAGAAACAGTGGCTATGACTATTGAGAATCGTTGAAGTAGGTATGAAATTGACACGTGTAGTCGATTGAATATGAAACGATCGATTTCTCACTCCGCGCCAAAAGAAGATCATTTTAAATTGTGATTTTGTAGCTATGTTATTTTCTTTTAAACTTTTCATTTCAGAGTGCGTCACATCTTACGTCATCATTTTTCTTTGACTTTCTGCGCGTGTGTGGTGACTATAAGAATGTTTATGTAGATGTGGCATTTGCGTAATTGAAATTCAGATCGATATCCACAAGCCTGTTTTAAGCAGAAACCATGAACTCTCATTACATGAAGCACTCTGAACCATTTCGTGAGACGTATCCTCTGAAATGAATGGTCTCAGAAAAAATAATGTAAATCCTGAATAATACATGCCAGAACATTATATTTTATATTCATCCAATAAGAAAACATTTTTCTATCGGTCGGTCCTATTGGAAGTCAAAGTTGAATGGAAAATTATTCGGGAATATATATTTGAGAATTTTCGCAATGAATTCACTTAATAGATTAAGGTCAATCGGATTCCACCACACATAGATGACCTTGCATGCTGTATTTGAAACGGTGAAAGTTGCACATCTCCACAATATGTCTATCAAAAGTTATTTGAAAGAAAATTGAAACGTGTTCTATATGAAACGCATAATACTGAATGTATGCGGTACACAAATTATTTTGTCACATTTGTATACAACATGGTATAAACTTTTAATTTGATAGTAATATACTTTACAGAGGTTCATTTGGGGATGCCAACTTTCATTCAAAGCTATTTGATAGTAAAGGGTATAGCTACATGTTTCTTTAAAAGCGTATTTTTCGTAGCCTAGTAGGTTCCATTGCAGATGCATCTTACAGACTCCAACTTCACGAAGAAGATTTTGTTTGGGACCAGGGGAGGGAGAGAGAGAAAAGCATGCCACTCCTGAGAGGCGAATCATATTATCAAGCTTTCATGAGCATAAATTCTTCGGGTGCGAATATTGTGTTCCTTACCAAGAATACCCGCACACGCACAGTTCACATCCAGATGTATAATCACATCTAGCCACACCCACACCCACACCCACACCCATCTTATTGTTGTCATCGCATATAAACTTTGATTTAATCTTTTATGAAATACTCTTTCTAGCATTATTTCTCCTTAAAACTATCGTCAAAAGAGTATCAAGGTATATTTTTAACAAAAGACATACACCAGATTCAATGAATTAGAATGGATTTGTCGACAATAAGAGTTAACCAGAACAAATACCAAATGTCAACAGAAAAGGAACATTCAACCTTATGTGAAGCATCGTCATCTCCAATTCAAATATAATGGGGTCAGAGATAAGAAAAACTTTCCATATATAATTTTTTCGTCTCTCATATTTTAGTAAAAATGCCAATCCTTCGTGAAGAATTCTCACTCGATGGTAACGTAGGCAATGATTTGTATAATAATTTAGCTTCGAAAGCTAAACAACTTGTAGAACGCTTCGAGCAGGTTTTAAACTATGCGAAATGCTTCTCTAGACAAGAGCCATTTCAAATTCGATTCGAGAGAGAAACAGATCAGCGATGTTGTATGAGTC